ACGTGATAAATCATAAGATACCAATAGGAGAAGGTAATAGGAAAGATGAAAAGGACAATAGCAATTCAACCCTACTAGAATAGAATAACAGAATTGGAAGGGATCTTCTAATCCAACCCCCTGCTTAGGTAGGAAGCCCTAGACCATTTCAGAAAATTGTTTGTCCAATCTCTTCTTAAAAACTTCCAATGTTGGAGCATTCACAACTTCTGGAGGCAAGTTGTTCCACCGATTAATTGTTCTAACCATCAGGAAATTTCTTCTTAGTTCTAGGTTGCTTCACTACTTGATTAGTTTCCACCCATTGCTTCTGGTCCTGCTCTCATGTACTTTGAAGAATAACTTGGCTCTCTCTTCTTTGTTGCAACCTCTGAGATATCAGAACACTGCTATTATGTCACCCCAGTCCTTCTTTTCATTAAACTAAATGTACCCAATTCCAGCAACTGTTTTTTACATTTTAGCCTCCAGTCCCCTAATCATCTTTGTTGCTCTTCTCTGCACTCCTTTTAGAGTCTGAGAATATATGAGTATGAATATCCTTAGGCATAAGACAATGCTTTGGGAATTAGGTGTTTAGCAGAGCGATGGTATGGGGGGAAAAACTTGTCTTTGTGTCTAGTTGTTTTGGCATGCAATGCCCTGTAGTGGCATCCTGAGGGGAGCAATTTTTATGCCCAGATCCTCCTCCAGATGGCAGCCTTGGTGAAATGTTCTCTCGTAGTTTTTTATCTTTGTAAATGGAATAACCAGGAACTTCTATACAATGGATTAATAATTGAATATATACAACATTAGCTTAAATGGATATAGATTTATAGTTTGCATAGATTTATAGTTTAGAGTGATAGCCTTTGCTTTCTTCTTTTTTCATTGTCGGAAAGAGGCACTAGAAAATCACGGAAGTTTCTGACTTTATTCTTGAGAGGTATTTGGGAATCTAAAATGAAAACCTTATATGCAATCAGATACTCTTATGTGTGGCTGGACTACTAGTATAATCAAGTATCCAACTTACATAGACACTTTGGTCTCCTTTGGTGTCCTGTCAAAATTTTCCCTTTCCTTAATAATCGTGGGATGACACAGTAAGATCTGTGGGGTTTTTTTCTTTATGATACATGGTGTACAAAATTTTAGCTGGGATGGCTACTGAGGTATATATGTTTATGTTTTTTCACTCTTGGCCAGAGAAATAGAGAGGGATTTATTTACATTCTTACCAACTTTTATATCCAATTATCAGTCACTCTGAGCAGCTTAGTATACTGTATTCCATAAGGGAGGGTTAAAAAATTACACATAAAGATCTCTCTCAAATTAACTCCCAGTTCCATACCAGGCACCATAAAACTGACTCAATTCAAAAACAAAATATCTCATTACAAAAGGGAATACATGATATTTCTGTCCCCAAGTCCTGCTGGAGAAACTAGATTTCCATGAACTTTCTAAGATAGGTTGGGGCCTTCTCCAGCACAATGTTTTCCAAAAAAAATCTGATCCTTTTCATCTTGGTGATAATCTGTCGATTCACTCCCCCCCCCCCCAGCGTTGGTGAATTTAATATTGAAAAAGGTTAGGTACCAATGTTTCAGAAAGGAAAGACTGGATCTGCTGGAACTAAGCAATTCTTGGGGGCCCTTGGCATGATTTCTAATGACTTGTCTCCCGGTGATTTCATGGAAGCTTTCATTTCCAGCCTCCCCAAAGCAGCCTGGGAGGAGGTAAATATTGCAGAACTTCTGACTTCCCAATGCTTCATAAATTTCTTCTCATGTAGGGCTGCTTTGCCAATCTCTTTCCTGTTCAGGAGTGGTTACAGTGGTTGAATACTGTATCACAGCATAGAAGTTGGCAGGCTTAGCTTAACCTTTTTATATTGCTTGTAGCCATAATTACTTTCACCCAGTGGTGGGATTCAAATTGTTTTACCACCAATTCGGTGGGTGTGACTTGTTGGGCATGGCTTGGTGGGTGTGCTTTGCCTAATGCCGGCACGCAGCTTTCCCATACTAGCTGAGACCTGCAGTGCCAATCAACTGAGAAGATAACGAACAGAAAAGCATGGGGGCAGGTAGGAGGGCTGATCCTGTGCTTTTCTCTTCTTTTTCCTCTCATCTGATTGTTCAGGATTTTTTTTCGTCCTCTCAGCTGATCCTCAGCTTTTTTTTTTTTTTTACTACCGGTTCCATACCACCACTGCTTTCACTCCTTCCTGCAGGCAGCTTTTCTCTATTTCCCTAAAGCTTATGCTGAAGTCATTATTTTATTTTAAAACTATATATTACAGTTGCAAACTCCCTGCCAAATTGAGTTTTGATCTAATCTGAAATTATGTCTGTTCATAATGTCCTGGAATTATTGCTAGTACAATAAAGGCTGCAAAGAGAAGCAAGTTGGGGAAATTATCTTTGGCACGCAGCTTGTTTTACAAAGGTTTAAAGTATTTCTTCCTCTTTGCGTGCTCACGCTAACCCAAGTGTGTGTGTGTGTGTGTGTGTGTGTATTTCTCACCAGGAAAATAATAATTAAAACATTGATAGGATCAATTATTCCACAGGCATATACTTCAGAATTCTAATAGTACTTCAGGCACTAATGAATAAATATTTCAGGAAAGCGAGCACTGTTTAAACACTTGGAAGGGAACAAGTGTATACTGATGAATGTTGAAGTGAGTCTCTTTTTAAAACCAGATCTGTAATATTAAAAATGATTCATCTGCTTAAAACAAAGTGTGATATTGTAAATAAGCCTTATAAATCTGCAGGGTCGCTATAATCTTAATAAAGTATATGAAACTCCCAAAGCATATTATGATTTGCTGTAACTCATTAATTATCTCCCATCCTTTACCCCTTTACTTATAAAGAAATATCTAAAAAAGCCTAGCAACAGCCTCCCCCCCAAAGGATATTTAAAACATTATGGATTCCAAGTATTAAATGGTTCATTTTACCATCCTAATAAAAATCAGGATGTTTCTCAACAGTTACATCACTGTGCTATATTGTCATCTTCTTATGTAAAAGGAAATATTTTTTTAAAAAAGTATTCTGATTACACGATGGACATATTCCTGTCAATGGAAAAAAATCATATTTCCCTTTAGGCATGGATGACCTAACTAGAAATGTTTATGAAATTATTACCTTCTTTACATTAACTTGCAGCTCAAAGTTAGTAGAGAGGTCATATCAAATTAATATGAGTGTTTTCTCTAGATCAAGTATTCACAGATATCACTGTTCCTAAGATTATTTCTATATTTGTTAATGTTCTTGCTGGTTGTGGAATATTGTATTAGCAGAGCAATATTTTTCTACCATTCCAATGCTGAAGACAGCAATGCCACATTGAAAAGTCAGATAGATTAGTTATGTTGGTAAACCAGACAGATTAGTTCTATTCTCCAACGAACAGCAAAACTGCAACTAAGACAATGTGTTTTTCTTTAAAAGATGGCTGTACACAAGAACAGTGCCTTACAAATGCCAGTGGGCTGTGCAGCCTATTTGGGAAAATTGTGAAGAAAAACCTGAAACTTATTTAACAGGGAAAAATGAATTCTTACAAAGTATCAGTTTTAAGACTCATTGAAATCTTCTTTCACATTTTTTCCAATATTGCATACATCTCCCTTTTTCAATAGCTTCTTAGCAAAAGCCACACCTAGAAATGAAAAAGGTCATGCAATGTATTGGAACAAAATTGTAAACATTTGGATAGTATTGCTAGAATAGACTTGTTCATGGACTTGTCTGAAAATACGCAGGCTTGTTTGGCTTGAATATAAATCCACTGGTCAATGGGATTAATAGGATTTGTCTTTTATTCAGGTCATGAATCATATGGACACCTGGAAAAAGCAGGGGTAGTATTGCTTTAAGGCTTTTGCCTAAATGAGGTCATTTGGAATAGTTATCCATAGCTCATGCAGATTTTCCTCAAAGTTAAATTCCCCTTTATAACTGCACCAAATTGAAAAAAAATGTCATTCCTGGTACATATGTAACACTGCCCAAGTGAAGAAATTATAAGTGTGCAATTTGGATTGGTCTAGATCAGGATAAAGCACTTTATCTGCTTCACCACAATTTCATAATATGAAAAAGATTATTTTCATTCTTACATTTTTCGACACCAACCTGGCAATAGATTTATGCTTATTGTATTTTGTGCTAACCGTGTAAATATATCTTAAATGAAAATTTTATCAGCAAATGAGGACCAGGAGTTATTTATATCATTGACCTAACAGTCCAAAATTTCTTACTTGATCTAAATTAAGACTTACATGTTTAACTTCCTCGCACTTTGGAAGCATCAAATATTTCCAAAAGATCAAGTCTGAAAACAATTCCAAGAGGAATTAAAAAGTCTCCTTCCATCTGAAATATAGGCTATCAATTCTCAACTTGCCTGTCTGTGTGAAATAGCAGGTTCTTGTCTCTGATGTTGCAATTTTGTTTAAAATAGCCTTGATGATGGCAGGGTACACGAGAATGAAAAAAAAAATCAAAAAGATGACAGCCTAATCTTCAAAGATGACCGATCACAGATAAAAGATTAAGTCACTCAGCATTTGAAATACCAGATTATCTGTCTCCTGGCATCGTGTCTGTATACCTCTCCTGCTGAGTTCTGCCAAGATACAACTGACATGTAAAGATGCTACATCTTACACAATTGAATTGCTATAGAGAATTTTGTTGCCTCCAGCCATTGGGTTAAAAGAAACAAATCCCCAACTGAAATATTTAATTAATCAAACATATGTTTTTGAGACAGGCAAAGCACTTAGACATACAAGAGGTAAATATATTTTAGAGCCAGTTATATAAAAGCCTTTAAAATAGTTCATTTTGCCATATCTAAGCACTCACAGATGGCCTATCAATGGGTAAGTAATGATTACACACCTTTTGTTATTATTACTATTTTATGTATTCCCGTTTTTTTAAAAAAAATAAATATGGGAAGAAAAGCATACTTACAAGGATTATTAGACATGCTGGTCCTATAAAACTCCATATAAAGTTATTCTTTGTGCTGAGCCAACATCTGTAAGGTAAATAGGATGAAATATTTTGAACTACATTTACAGATTAAACCATCTTGGCCTGGTATTGAGAGCCGAAGCCTTACTTTTTTGGTATTCTTATTTCTGGACCAAAGTTATTTAATCTGTTGTTCCTGGGGCTACAGGCGACCCATTTTTTTTTTTTTTTGTAGATGTGTACAGTGTTTCAAAGTTGTGCTTCATTTCAAGAGAGGTTTGAGAGAAGCATATCTTCAAACCTGTTTGGCAAAGCAATGTACACTGTACACTGTACATGTTTCATTTTACATTGTTTGAATCCCTGGTCAGGCAGACAGCTACTGGATAGGCCAGAAAAAGCTTTAGAGAGAGTCACTGTATCCTCCAAATTCTAGAACTGATGAAAGAGATGATAAGGCAGAAAGGCTATGGGAGGTACCTGGACAAGGAGCATTGTGTTACCTCCATAGTGACATGACATGCCAATAGCCAGTTTTGTGTGTGTTTTAGGTACTGGTCTAGAAGCCAGGAGACTGTGAGTTCTAGTCTTGTCTTAGGCCCGAAACAGGCTGGCTGACCTTGGGCCAGTGACTCTCTCTCAGTCCAATCCATCTCATACAGTTGTTGTGGGGAAAAAAATAGGAGGAGAAAGGAGTATTAGGTGTGTTCACTTCCTTAAGTTACCTATAAAGTACTAAAGGTGGGATAAAAATTTAATAAACAAATAAGTGGCTCAAAGAACCTTGCTGACACCTAATTAGACTACCTTGAATTGGTCTTGTTCCTGGCTAGAAGATATAGTGTTGCCTTAAAGATGGATGAGATAAGGGTTAGGGTTTGGATTAGAGTAAGGAAAAAGGAATCATTGAACAGTTAGTAATAAACAAAGTTGATACAAAATGTCCCAGAATTTTCCATCCGTGGGATTGACGTAGGTGCCTGTTCAGAACAATTCAAATGAAATTTGAGGTTTTAAAAACCTTTTTTGAAAGGAGAGAATTTGGCTAATTTTTTATCAATGCCCGATTGCTAGGTTCTAATTGTTGCCTGCCTTCAGATTAGAGTGTTACCTGTTTGGGCAGGTTACAAAAAACCAGATAAAGTTATGCCTGAATGACTTTATTCGAATTGAATAGAATAGAATTATTTTATTGGCCAAGTGTGATTGGACACACAAGGAATTTTTCTTGGTGCATATGCTCTCAGTGTTCATAAAAGAAAAGATAAGAGAAATTTGAAAAAAAAAAAAGGGAATGAACCTACTTCTTTGCATAATAGGGAGATATTTTTTCCTTGAAATATTGAATATTAAATATTGAAATATCATTGAAATTATTTTTGCAGTAGCTTGGATAAAAGAGAAGAGAAAGAAGGAGGAGAGGAAGAGTAGGTTGCTATACATCAGAAAATATAATAAATAACCTATAATAAGGGTGGGGGGAACTTGGGAAATAGATATACAGCATATAATATCAAACCAGAGCTGCTAAGTGTTACTTTCTTCCAGGGAAATGAGATGAGACCACTAAATTTGATCATTTGATTTTCTCTTGCTCCAGAAATAAATAAATAAAAACATCTTGTCTCAAATGCATACTTTCAGACTTGATTATCCTGTCTAGTCTTGGTTACAGATGTCAGTTTCCCCTTGAATTGATATACTGAGTTTCATCCAATTCAACAGAGAAGACAGAACTTTGGAATAAAGTGTCCATACATTGAAGCATAGTCAGATATGTGTCTGAGGATAAATCTCTAAATTAAGATCTACTCATTTTTAAATGAGAACTGAAGTCAAAAGTTAATGGTATTTCAACGCTGTTAGTATCAAATGACTAGACGTGTTAAAAAATATTGACAACGAGAATGTCATAGCCAAAGCATAGTTGCGCTAACACATCTTGGCAGACTGTATTTGGACCACTTTTGAAATATCCAAGGTGTAAATAGTAACTTACACATCAGTTGTTCCATAGTATTTATATCCCAGTGCAGCAGAAATGCCAACCACCACTGCTGGGCTTACATAGCCAAAAATATAGAAATTCTTGTGTAAGAATCCTTTATTGTAGATTACTCCAACAACTATAAGATACAAGTGAATGCCTTCGATACACATCCATGCAAAAGCCGCTAAGAGGAAGTAATGGAGCAATCCAGCTGTGATGGAACAGAATAGCTAGAAGGGAAAAGAAAAAACGGTACAGTATAAGTGACTAATATAAAATAGTACATTTATTGCAATGCAGGTTTAAACTTTCTTTCTGTACAGAGGAAGCACAAGTTTTTCTGACGTTTTGTCTCAAGACCATTAAGGACCTGTCATCAATTGTCTGAATCTGCATAGGGAAACACTTGGACCAATGTCATTTGAAAACTGGAGCAACATATATGCTTGTTTTGCCCATGTAAAATTTTAGCCTGAAGTATTCACTCTGACACATTGGACTAGATAAACTGTGGGCTAATGTACAAGTAGTCCTCGACATACAACAGTTCATTTAGTGCCTGTTCAAAGTTACAATGGCATTGGAAAAAAAAAAACATTTGTCAGGCTCCTGATATTCCCAGCCCATTCTGGAGCCTGACACACCTGAGGGGGACAGAGCAGACCAGTGTGCATTTCTAGCCCATTCGGGAGCCTGACACACCTGAGGGGGACAGAGCAGACCAGCACGCAAGCCTTCAAAACCACCCGGAGGAACTAATCTGTGTTTGGCAACAGGCAGTGCCAGCTGCGAACGCCAGCTCAGGAAGTGGCACATGGGAAGGGTCAGAGAGGAAAAGAGGCTGGGCACAGGGTGAGATGATGCATCCATGAGGAGACAGGCAAGGGAGAAACCTGAAGCGGGGGGATAGGGACTGCGTTGGGTGTTGTTGGCAATTGCCGAGACAGGGGGTAATGGGGCTGATGTGAACAGGCGGATAGGAGACAGGCACGAAGGAATCAGGCATGGGGGAGAGTCGGGCGGATGGTGGAGAGCTACTGCTAGTAGGGAACTGACACGGGGGATAATTTAGATAATGAGATGAGCGGATGTTGGGTTAGCAGCCGAGGCGGATTTATAACGCACGGAGAGGCGGTAGCTCTCAATGCTAGCTTTGCACAAACTATCGTTCTTGTCGGTGAGGTTACCAGGTTGTGATCTAAAATAAAGACGTGACTACACAGCAGAAGCATGAGTGCCGACTTATATTTCTGCACATTTGCCCTGGACCCTGAGCTGGCTGAGAGCATGTTTCACATTTATGACTGTCGCAGTATCCCCGTGTTCATGTGATTTACATTTGGATGCTTGGCAACTGACTCACATGGATGACGGTTGTAGTGTCCCAGGGTCATGTGAATACCCCTTTTGTGACCTTCTGACGAGCAAAGCCATTGGGGAAACCAGATTCACTTAACAACCGTGTTACTAATTTAACCGCTGCAGTAATTCACTCAACCAATGGGGCAAGAAAGGTCATTAAACAGGACAAAACCCACTTAACACATTTCTCATTTAGCAAAATAAATCTTGGGCTCAATTGTGGTCGTAAGTCGAGGACTACCTGCATTCTCTCTTCCTGGAGATAGATTTAGATTCCTCTTGCTTTCCTTACAGCAATGTGGATAAGCAGCATTTTTCTATACTGATTAAAAATAAAGCAACCCATAAAACAAATTGGCAGAACTCCTGCTGGTATTGGAACATTGCCAGTCTAAACAATTAAGAGTCTGCCTTCACTTTCATTAATGAAGGTCTCAATTCTCCGTGAAGTCCACAGGCAGAAGAATTATTCAGTGGAGTTTATACATCTGAACTGAACTGAATTGGGTGGAAATGTTAGATGAGGGTTTTAAAACTCACCTAATGGTATGGTTAAATTAAATGCTGATATTCACCTTAAGACTGGGAGATACCCCACAGATACTGTCTATTATATGCACACTGTGCCATCATTGCATAAATGACAAAAATGATGCAATCTGTGTGATGACATTCTGTTACAAGCCATACGACATCACATAGTCTCACAAAGGCTCATTAGGACATACACCTTTGAAAATGGGCACACTTTAACGTACCATTTTCGGCATTAAGAATGATACTCACCTTATTAGTGTTCATATTAATTCCAATCAAAAAAATAAACTCTGCCAGGAAAAGGCTGCAACAGAGATTTTTATGAATTGTTGTTCTTGTACTTTGGATTTCGCTGAAGAACCAAAACGTGAAAATGCACATGGCAAGGCAAATCAATGAGATAATAATTCCAAGCTGAGTGATTCTTGTAAGAATATAATCCTTAGCTTCCTGGGATTGAAGAAAAAGGATAGTCCACTTGAACATTTAAATAAAACTTTATTTTTGTTCCCCCTCCTCCAAGGTTATCTATATTGCATGTGTATATATGTATCATAGCATGTAAAAGGCAGGTGCACCTGCTCTATTTTATGGATTTTCCCTGGTTTCAGAAATACAGCAAATAAATAAAAATCTCTTGCCTAGAATGTTTATTTTTAGTCTTGATTATCCATTTCAGTCTTGGTTATAGACCACAGTTTCCCTCCCCTTCCCTCCCCTCCTCTGCCTCCCTCACTCCTCCATTCCCTTCCCTCATTCCCTTCCCTTCCCTCCCCTTCACTTATTTCTCTCTCTCTTTTTTGTTATTATTCAAATTATTCAAAGTGACTGGCAGAGAGGAAGGAGAAATTAGTGTGGGTTTCATTTTAATGTCAATTGTACCCTTTCTGAATATCAAAATAATCTTTGTACAATCTTTCTGAATGTTTCAGTGTCATTCATAAATAAGAAAAAGATATTCTAAAGTTATAATTGAAGAATGTTGGCACTAAAATAGATATGCATATGAAGAAAACGGAAACACATACTTTAGTTACTTTTCATGTAATTTATTAGCATAACTCTAGGTCAGCATTGCAAAATCTAATTTCTAAAATGTCATCTCCAAAGTGTGAAAAGTGTGAAACTTCTGTGTGTTCTTCATTCTAAACCTCTGGAGTGAGCGCACGCTGTGAATATTAAAAATGATGAAGGACAAATGAGGGTCTTTCTAATGGCTTTCTGAGGTATAGTACACAGACTAAGAAGTGATGCGTAGAAAAGTATTTAATGAAACCCATAGTTCTTGCACAGAATAAGTTTGGCAAGGAACAAAAAAAGTTTGGACAGCAGTCAATTCTTTTTCACTTCACAAAGAACCGATCAGTGGGGCAGTTGGAAAACAAGGTAGCGATTGCAGGAGGATAGGTTAAACTATAGGTAATATAATGCTCTTTGTCACATTGCAGAGTCAGACTGTCAAAGAGACTTCATTGATCCATACAATTTTGCCAGGGATGCTGAAACTTTGGCATGCGACTGTAGTAATTTCTATTGTCTGTGAAACATAGTGCAGGGGCTCATAGCTAGTGTAGGTCTCTTATTTCCATTGGACCTTTCTTCCAACTAAATGTAGGTGAGAATATCTTTTGAAATGGAAGGGTCATTTCAAGTTCAGATTTTTTTACAGTATAAAATGGCCCATTTTTTTTTCAAATAAAGATGTATCAAAAAGTAAAAGCTGGCCATTTAAAAAAGAAGAGATGTTCCATGATAAACCATGGAAAATGAACAGTGAACTCTATAAAGTAAGATAGAAAAGGGACTGCATTGTACCAATGGATATCTAGAGATTCTAAGAATGTGATGTCCAGGGTCAACCTAGGCACAGAAATATCTAATCCTGAAGAAGGAAGTGGTAAGGGAAGGAGATTAATCTGTTTGCAGAATATATTTCTCATGCATGGGGTTTATGACCCCCCAAATAGGAAACACTAATAAAAATAGTCTTTAAATTAAAAAAAAAAACACTTACAACTTTAGAGCCATTTGAAGACATCAAGACTGCAAAATGAGTAAGATGGTTACAACTGCATGACGTATGTGTGCTATTGGAGTTAGTCCTCTCACACCCTTCTGTGGCCCAGTTTCCTTCCATCGTGTCTTCTGAATAATTCCAAAATACACATTTAACATCCTTTTTGCCCACAGTCTGGAGCAGAAACAAAATGTGTTAAGAATGATAAATGGCCTACAATTGTGTGACCCTCTTCTAATGAACAACCTCACCCCTGAAATTTGGAAAGTCTTGAAGATCTGGCTTTTCACTTAGTATTCTGACCAAGGCTTCCTGAGACCGTAATTAAGCACACACTTAGTCCAAACAACAGTGTTTTATTTCAACACTGGGAATTATGTTCATTCCCAGCCTGTAATGAGTTCCAAACAGTTCCTCGTGATAAGCACCCACCTTTGTCTCCTTTGAATTGCTGCCAACAACTAAAGTGCCAAATTAACTGTAAAAAACCAACCAAAGTACAACGTCCACACAGAGCTTCAAGATTTAATCTGAACAGAGCAAACGACTTTGCTTTTTGCAAAGGTTTCTCTACCTTGCTTTATACCTTAGGGGAGGGGCAATCACCTCCAAGCCTTACTCCCAAGTCACCTCTTTTGTCTTAGCTGCTCTTGTTTTCTAGCAGCTCTGCGCACACATGCACTGGGAACAGGTTTCCCTTGTTCTTCTGCCTTGCTGCTGCCAGACTCTGGAGGCTCCTGAATCAGCACATAATTCGCAGATGGTTCTGACCCCATCTCTGCATTGGACACAGTACCCTGATCTGAATCCTTCACAGACTCCTGGACTGGTCCCCGTTCTTCCCCACTGTCCAATTCCGCTGCCGTCTGCACAGGCTGCCGGCGAACCACAACACTTAGCGCCTGAACCAAGATGCTAGTTGTATTTTATGCCGTTGGGAAATCCATAAGGAATCACAGTTAGGTTTTTGTTATAGGTTGCTGTCTCATTTTTTTATTTTTAGCCATCCAAAATGACCGTATTATTATTTGCTTGCTCCTTGTAGCCCTAATTTTGCCAAGGTTGTGTGTATACATACATACACACACACACACACACACACACACACACACACACACACTTTATTTTCTGTTGGATATATTTGACTTGCTTTCAACCTTGAACTTCTAACATCTATGGAAAACGCCTCTATTTTTTTTAAAATGTATTTCTACCATCCCTTCTCCCTCATTCTACCTCCAAAGTTCACACATGGGTTGTTGTTGTTGTTGTTGTTGTTGTTGTTGTTGTTGTTATACCCTGAACCTCCTCCAAATAATTCACAATAGGTCTTTGACCTTCATGAGAATGCCTAAATCAAGAAGCGCTTACTTTCCAAGAATATGTAGTGGGGTTTAATGGCTATGCGTGGATTAGAATGTTCATCTTTTCAATCCATATTTATCATTCTGTACTCTCAGCTGTTATGTACTATCACTGTATAATGGCAAGTAATCCAAAACGAAATATCCGGAATTATATAGCTATTCTGTAAAACTGTCACTGTGATTGCTGACGGCTATAAGAAACAGTGGCACCATTCACTTTGATGCCCCGTTAAATTTTATTTTTTGTGGTTGTTGTACTTTGCTAAGTAACATAAGGAATGCAACAGCCTCCCACTTTTCAAGTGGAAAAATGCTCAGAATTAAGTGTTGGAAGTACAAACATATTGGCACTGACCCTTTAAGATCAGTGTAATCTACTGATCACCAGAGGCAGTAGGGTGCTGCTAGAGTGTTAAGGGGTTTGCTTCACCTATTACTGCTTGTCTAAGAGATTTCTAATCTGAAATAATTTATTTTTTCCTTTCTTGCCGGGTATATGGTAGGAACCAATGATCTAGGCTTTACTTATTCCTATAGTGCATTTTCTATAAATGAACCTTTCTTTTACACTTACAAAATGTGCTTCATTAATTTTTTTCTTGGGTGCTATTTTCTTTTTCAAAAACGGTCATATACACTTCAGCCTTCAACATGGAAGAGCCTTGGATTACACTTGCACATTGTTGACAAATGTGTAATAAGACTTCCATATGCATTCATTATTTTTGTCAGTTTCTAGTCACACTTTTTAGTACCTACCTACTCCTACTCCCTGCCTTGCACTTGCTTTTCTAAACTCAATGTTGTAATTTCCCTTCTAATTATATTATGCCATATTGGCAAACAACAGAGTTATAAGGGTATTGCCAAAGCAACTCTTGCAACCCACTATAGAAAAATTACAGTGTTAAGTGAGAGATGTTTTAAAAAGAAATCTTACCTGTACATGTTTTAAAGTAAATATTATTTCCTCAGCTGGATACAGCCCAGGTGGGGTGGACCTAATTGCAACAGCTATAACAGATGAACCTACTATTTCTCCATCCTCTATATTTTCTGCCAGGGACAAATTCTGTGGTAATGAAAGCAGAGCTCCAATGTTGTCGTATCGCAGAAACACAACTGCAACTGTGCCTGTCCATCAAATAAAACATACTTAGTGGTTTGAAGATTGTTGATTTTTTTAAAAAAAAATAGAAATAGTAAAATAATGTTTAAAAAACACTAAGGAAACAACAATCAAAAGACCTTTGTAAAACTCTGACAAGAAGAATATCAAAACAATGGAAATTTTGCAGAACGCTTATGGAAAGACTGAAGAAACAGGGAGAAATGTTTAAAGCAGTAAGGGCTGTGCAACGATTAGAAATTAAATTTAATGATAAAACATTCAATCAAAGAATATTGTCCATATTTTTGGAAGGTAAATCTTCCAACTGTACAATTTAAGAGGCTATAGGTTCCAGGAGTTAGGGGATTAGTTTTCAGTCCCAGACAAGGGTTGTCCACATTGCCCATTGCAACTATGCAAGTGAATCTCTACCTCATTTTTAGATGCATTACCCAAAAGGTTAATGTAAAAAAAAGTTCATACAGTCAATCATACAGTCATGACTGCCATACTCTTTTTTTAACCCCCTCACACATCCCCTGTTAAAATAATTCTCCAAGCAGTACAGCTCTTATAAAATTGACAACATTCTGAATGTAGACCTACTGAATATCTTTTCCTAACAAGTGACTTTGCTTGAAAATAGTAATGACAGAAAGGTGATCATAATGTTTATGAAATATAAAAAAAAACCTTTTAATTACTGGTTTTTAAAATCCAGTAATTTTGATTCCTTACTTCTCATTATTTAAACTTAAATACAGTACATCCAAGTGCATTTATACCTTGCCAAGAATCTTGCCTCCCCCTATTGTTGTGATCAACACTAAGCTCTGAAAGCATTTATGTTTGGTGTTCCCGCTGAGACAGAAAGTCACATTAAATATTGTGTACAATATGGAGAAAGGAGCAATCAATAGGAGGCTAATTTCAGGGTGAGCTCATACAAAGGATTCAGATGTAACTCATAAGGAGACTCTGATACTTTGGCATAGCTGCAAGAATGGCATTCAAAGATATTTGCTTCCATTTCCAATTAACCACATTTTCTCTGAACCACAAGCTGTGATTAGGGAAGCAAGCCCACTTCAGAAATCAGAGTTTGACACTGGCTTGTAAGCTAACTACATGTTTTCCAGGGTCACATAAAATAAGAACTCTAATTGTTTACCAAGGGATGCAGAACCTTTTTTTAATCTCATCTGCAATCAAGTCCATGAATCACATGTAATGTAAGAGATATGTGACATAGTCAAAATGTAAAGTTTAGGTTTAATTTCTTTGGCATTCCTCCCACTCCATTCTAATTTATTTTAAAATAGGGAAAAGAACAATATTTTGTAGACCGCATTAACAAGACCTCCTAAATTGAAGGTCCATCCGACTGGGGGAAAACTTTTAAACTATCTATTTCAAGTAAAACAAAAAACAAAACAAAACCAATAAGGCAGTAATATTACCACCACCCCCAGTGTACATATATAGTGTGATTTCCACTTGTGCAATTATAGTCATTTGGTTAGATTCCAAGGTCATGATACACCCCAGATCATGTACTACTCTATCACTTTGTGCAAAATTATATCTCATTTTTATGGGAATACATGACTTATTTAAGGGATGGAAAGTATCTTATATATTGATATATTAAATATCCTAAATAATCATCATCTGCCCCTAAAGACTCAGATTGCACGGCTCCTGTTAGATCTCTCTCTTTTTGCACGCCCTCCTTTTTCTCACTTGCAACGCACTTTCACAAATTTCCTGCTTGCAAAAGATTGCTCCCCTGAAATCTAAGGAAAAGGTTTCCTTGTAGGCAAATGTAGTTTACACAAACTCATTTTCAGTCAATGTATGCAACAGATCACAAAATCCTTAGGAGAATTTATTAGTGTAAAAATGAAAATCCCAGAATGGCATTAGATTTTTTTTCCACTTTCTGTTTCATCTATTCAACTTTATACTGGATTTCCTCATACTGCAAGTGGAACAATGTGGCTGATGATTCTCAGAAAAAGGGAGGGTTTTCCACTGAATCCACCTATTGTACCAACAAGCCCAAACCACCATCCTAACCTTTAGCAGCAGATATTTCCTTCTTCTTTGCAGAGATCTTAATACTGTCTCCTCCCATCTGAGTATTTTGGTTGATGAGGTTCACCTTCTCTGTGTCAAAAGTATAAAGTCTTACAGCTGAAAAAGAAAAAAGGGGAAGAATGTCTTTGTGAGTAACAATTATACTGACGACTAGCTTATATACTGTGTTTCCCTGAAAATACCACCTACTCCACCCCCCAAAATAAGCCTCGGCTTGGGTTTTTTATGCGTGTACCTAATATAAGCCCTATGCCAAAAATAAGCCCTAGTGAAGGGAGTTGGTGTGGCGAGCATAGGAGGAGGTGAGTGCACATGTGTGGCAGCAGCTGTAGCCAACATAGCATAGGTGGATTGAGTGCAAACAGCAGGTGGAAGCAGAGGTGGGGGGAGGCAGGTAACACATGGGCCATGGGAAAGCTGAGCAGTGGTGAGCCAGAGCAGTGGGCAGCTGCGTGAGGCTCATCTTCATGTCTCTGAGCTCCACACATTGGGATTGCCTGCCTTCCGGTCCATGCCTTCCGCTCCACACAGCCAACTAAGGGATCAGCAGGTTGTAGCTGCTGCTGGATACTTGGGTGCCCGCACACTTGCTAGCTCTGGCGTGTGCACTGGGAGGGGCAAGGCATCCAGCTGGGCTGATCACCCTGAAATCGTGTTTCCCCAACATTAAGCCCTAGTGCTTATTTTGGGACCCCAAAGAAAATAAGACCGGATCTTATTTTGGGGAAAACACAGGTATAAAGTTATGCAGGAACTATTACAGGCAGTTCTTGATATGCGACCACAATAGAACCCAAGCAAGAACTTGTGAAGTGAATTTTGCCCCATTTTACGATCTTTCTTGCCAAATTTGTTAAGTGAATCACTGCAGTTATTCAGTTAGTAACACAGTTGTTAAGTAAATTTTATTTCCCCATTCACTTTGCTTGTCAGAAGGTTGCAAAAGCTGATCACATGACTCCAGGACACTGCAACCATCATAAATATGGTCAGTTGTCAAGCATCTGAACTTTAATTATGTGACCAGGGGGATACTGCAACGGTCATAAATGTGAAAAACAGTCATAATTCACTTTTTTCAGAGTCACTGTAACTTCAAACGGGCACTAAATGAAATGTTGTAAGTCAAGGACTACCTATACACAGGGCTTTACAGTCATTACAGATTCAAAGAGCACAATGTTATTAATGTTTCAAAAAACTCTACAATCCACAGCAAAATACATTGGTGCCCAAATAACAGCATATCAAATTATGTGAATGATCCTATTATGTGCTTGTATCACAATGTTCAGGTATATCAATTAATATGTCAGTATTAATATTATGCACATATATTAATGCATAATATTAATGAATTAACATGATGTCATGCTATATATTTCATTCTTTGTCCTTTTTGTCTCATCCCCAATACTAATCTATAGCTCTTTAATATTTTGCTCATGTGCTTTAAACTCTAGGACCACATTATTCATGGTAGGTGGATGTCCTTTAATTCCATATTTGTACCTTTTCATTCTTTGCCTGGGGAAAAAAATGTAACCTCTAATTTGCTTTGCATTAAGCGAGGTTTGGTAAAGAATAACGAAAGCTGCCTTCAGAAGAGCTTCCACTTTATTAAAAATGCATTTCTGAAAGTGAATACCAATTTCTTTAAAAGCACAAGAGACAATACCTTTGACAGTATTTATTTTGAAATCCATTCAGTGTGCGTTTATGTGAAGATAAAGGCATGCAATTCAACTGCATTGGACTATAATGATATTTGTTGTCAAAAACAAACAGACCAAATATCATCCCCACCCTCAACCGGAGAGTAGAAATGAGAAAGTAGCACATGAAATCTTTTAGCTTTACATTTCAGTCCAGTGCTTTAATCCCCTGTAAAACAATTGAAAAGTCAATGAGCAATTTTGTTATAAACAAAACAAATATTTGACTGGTGGGTTGGAATTACTTAGCTGCATATTCCTTCTTATGCAGAATTTTTGTTGAGTTATTTATTTTTAAAGAATGATGGTTTTTGATATGCAGGTTTTCCTTAAAGGCTTTTCCAGCACCCAAGAAAGAGGTCGTCCCTTTTCCTAAACAATAGAATAGAATAACAGAGTTGGAAGGGACCGTGGAGGTCTTTTAGTCCAATCTTCTGCTCAGGCAGGAAATCCTATACCATTTCAGAAAAATGGTAGTCCAATCTCTTTGTAAAAGCTTCCAGTGTTGGAACTTTCACAACTTCTGAAGGCAAGTTGTTCCACTGATTAATTGTTCTAACTATCAGGAAACTTCTTCTTAGTTCTCAGTTGCTTCTCTCCTTGATTAGTTTAGTTTAGTTTAGCTTAGTTTAGTTTATTTTCATTGCACCAAGCACAACGAAATCAAACACCATCTTCAGTGCACATCATGACCATGAAAATAAACACAAACACACATCCTTCACCCGCCACATGTTGAACTGAAAACCCCCGACACCACACCAACACTGCACTATACAGCAGAATTCAAAAGAGCTACTGCCCTGGGGTAGAAGCTGTTTTTCAGCCTATTTGTCCTTGTTTTTATTATTCTGTACCGTCTGCCAGATGGTAATAGTTCAAAAAAAGGGTTTCCAGGATGAGATGAATCTTTGAGAATGTTTTGAACTTTCTTAAGGCAGTGGAAGCTATAAAGCTGTTCCAAAGAGGGGAGAGGGCAACTAATGATCTTCTGGGCAATGACATTAACCCTCTGGAGTGCTTTCCTATCTGCCACTATGCAATTGGCAAACTGTACAGAAGTGCAGTAAGTTAAAATGCTCTCTATTGTGCAGCGGTAGAAGGTCACCAGCAGTTTTTCATTCAGTTGTTGTTTTCTGAGAAGTCTCATGTAGTATAAACTCTGCTGGGCCCTAGTGATTAGTTTCTACCCATTGCTTCTTTTCCTTCCCTCAATTGATTGGGAAAATAGCTTGACTCCCTCTTCTTTATGGCAACCCTGAGATATTGGAGCACTGCTATCACTGTTGAGCAGTGGTGAGATTCAAATTTTTTTACTACCAGTTCTGTGGGCATGGCCAGGTGGGCATGGCTTGGCTTGGTGGGCATGGCTTGGTGGGTGTGGCAGAGGAAAGATACTGTAAAATCTCCATTCCCACCCCACTCCAGGGGAAGGATACAGTAAAATTCCATTCCGTCCCCACCAGAGGTGGTATTCAGCACATTCTGACCAGTTCTGGAGAACGGGTAGCAGAAATTTTAAGTAGTTCGCAGAACCAGCAAATACCACTTTTGACTGGCCCTGCCCCCATCTATTCTCTGCATCAGGAGTCCCAGCTGATCGTCTGGGTCTTCTTTTGTTGCTCTGCACAGGAGAACGGAGCTGGAAAGCAGGTTAGTGGGGTAGGGAGGGAATAGGATTTTGCAGTAACCTTCCCCCAGGAGTGGGGAGGGAATGGAAATTTTACAGTATCCTTCCCCTGCAATGCCCACTGAGCCATGCCCACCAAGCCACACCCACCAAGCCATGCCATGCCCACCAAGCCATGCTCACAGAACTGGTAGTAAAAATTTTTTGAATCCTACTACTGCTCCCCACCGCGCTAACCTGCTTTCCAGCTCCATTCTCCTGTGCACGGCAACAAAAGAAGACCCAGCCAATCAGCTGGGACTCAGGAGGCAGAGAATAGATGGGGGTGGGGCCAGTCAGAGGTGGTATTTGCCAGTTTTACGAACTACTCAAAATTTCCACTACTGGTTCTCCAGAACTGGTCAGAACCTGCTGAATACCACCTCTCCTATTGAGGGACGATATGAGGAGAATATGGATGGTTTGAAAGTCAGGAAAGAGTAGGCCTTTTCCAGTGGTGGGATTCAAATTCTTTTACTACCAGTTCTGTGAGTGTAGTTTGGTGGGCGTGGTGTGGTGTGGTGTGGCTTGGTGGGTGTGGCTTGGTGGACATGGCAGGGGAAGGATGCTGTAAAATCCCCATTCTCTCCCCACCCCACTAACCTGCTTTCCAGCTCCATTCTCCTGTGCAGAGTAACAAAGGAAGACCCAGCTGATCAGGAGGCAGAGAAGAGATGGGGACAGGGCCAGTCAGAAGTGGTATTCTGAACTACTCAAAATTTCTGCTACTGGTTCTCCAAACTACTCAAAATTTCTGCTACCGGTTCTCCAGAACTGGTCAGAACCTGCTGAATACCACTTCTGGCCTTTTCCTGTTCTGATTCATGCATTTAGCCAATTGAAAGAACTACATGTAGTCCTCAACTTACAATAGTTCATTTAGTGACCGTTCGAAGTTACAGTGGCACTGAAAAAAGTGACTTATGACCATTTTTCACACTTCTGAATGTTGCAGCATTACCATGATCAAAATTCAGATACTTGATTCATATTTATGACAGTTGCAGTGCCTTGGAGTCATGTGATCAGCTTCTGCAACCTTCTGACAAGCAAAGTCAATGGGGAAACCAGATCCACTTAACAATCACGTTACCACCTTAACAACTGCAGTGATTCACTTAACAACTCTGGCAAAAAAAGATCATAAAGTGGGGTAAAATTAACTTAAGTAATGTTTCACTTAGCAACATAAATTTTGGGCTCATTTGTGGTTGTAAGTCAAAGACTACCTGTATACTCCTCGTGTGTTAAGAGACTATAATGAAACAAATTCATAGGCTGCTTGGGGAGCTATTTCTCTCCTTGAAAGAGGTTAAGGGCTTTCATGTTACCCACAAGCCAGAAGCTGTCGATCTTGAGAAATGGGACTGATAATTAGGTTAGAGAAGAAATGAGTGCAGCCTAGCCATCTCTGGTAAAAGGTTTAGCTAAGCTTCTTCCTAATACATGCCTGAAAAACAATGGCAGGGTTAGATGTACAAAGCCAAGAGGTTACATAGCCTCCCATTCAGTTCTAAATACCAAGAATAAATAGCTCACATCCATTGGATTTCAAACAGTCGAGAACAAACTCACGATTCTGCTCCTAACGTCAACAATTTGTTGCAAGGAATGCAAAAAAAAAAAAAAAGGAAAGCAAGAAGAAGAACAACCCATCTTCAGTATTTTTTTTTTTTGTTTCCTTGTGCATACCCATATCACTAACATTAACTTCTACTTCAGCCATCTTTGGGAAATTCTGAGATAGGAAGGCTGTTGTTTCCTCGGCAGCATGAATCAATTTGGTGAGGCTTTTTCTTCTGTTGTCTGCTGGGACAGCTTCCCAAGCCGCCTTCTTATCTTCCTGAACAAAATTATTTACAGTCCTAACAAATTCCTGTTGGGTTAATAAAAAAATATTGTGTTAACTTTCTATGCTGTATACCTTGTAAGTAACCAAAACTTTAAATCCCAGTTCACTCACGTTAAGAGTTTGATCTCGAAGCTTCTCGTCAGAAATGGTATAATTTGTGATACTCAGCAAGGAAAGGGGTACAGATAACATTTCAACATAAGAAATTACTTCAACTGGTGTAATGGGCCCTATGCTGTTCTTGTTGATTTCTTGTAATACAGCCAGAGGATCTTTTAATTCACTAATCTGAAAGAAAGTTTTAAACCATTATTCATGTCATCCAATACTTCATTTTAAATGAAGAATCGTAACTGATGCTCAATTGATAGTTAAAAATTTGCTACTACTATTCTTTTTTGTTTTTGTTTTGTTTTGCTGAGCTTGAAAGAGAGGGAACTGTATGGTGGATAAAATATATGTTGTCTACACAGAGAAGGCCTGGATTCAAATGTGACCTTGCCATGAATTTTTGCATAGTAATAAATATCTCTAAGTAAGGTAATCTCACAACATTGCACTAATAATGTTATTCTCAATATCTAAAGATTATTTCTATCCAACAATTCTTATCCTTGGATCAATATTTGCTCCAGGATAAATTTAATTCTAATTATCAATTCCATGTACCAATTTCAGGGTATTTCTGTTATATGTGGCTGGACTATCACTGAAATAATCCACATGCTTAAACAAGAAAGATACCTAAATATATATTACTTCTCTGTTTCTCTTGTTGTGGAATGATAGGATTGTGAGAAAATTTAGTGTGGGAAATATCATTAATGTTAAAAGATGGATTGGGTGTTTGTAAAATATCTAATCTTGCTTGAATTATAGACTGATTTCATGAGACAACATCAATAAAACCTCTTGTTGTAAATACAAGTGTATTGGCAATTTATCAAACTTTTATATGGAAAAGAAAGTTGTAATTAAGTTTGTAAAGATTCTCTAACTTTCAGAAGAAATGAATACTGGATTTGTATGAGAAAAGTCCATTTTATTTTTATTCTGGGTGTGGCACTATATAGTTTTTGCAGCTTTCATAAATTTAAAATAACTAAAGGAAATGACAATGAATCCAACTTCAATAATCATATAATCAACCCTCTTCTTCTTGCCACACACTGGAGGATATTTTCACTCTGCAGTTCTGTATTCTGCCAGTTTGGTCAATGAATCAGATGCCTATAAAATGTCTTAAATTAAATTAATTGAGAGTTATAAGCCACTGTGTCTGGTATGTTATCATAAGTGGATATGAAAGTGGCAATAAATGTATACTGTAAGATTGTGACAGCTATTATTTATTCATTACATTTATTTCCTATTTTTCTTCAAGAACTTTTGAACTGCACCATGTTCTTTTAATCGCAATCCTATGGAATGTTTACAGACTAATGCCAATAAACTCAAAAGAATCCAGTTCATTTAATGACAGACTGAGGATTTGACTCTAGGTCTTCCCAGTCGCTATCTAATACTCAAAGTATTTATACCAATCTAGAAAAATTTGAGGGCAAATATATACCTACATAAATCTTACTTACTTTAGCTAAAGTTTGGTTAAGGTTTTTAGTTATACAGTTGTTCAGTTCACAGGTTGTTGTTGGTAATGCTTCAGGAATGAAAAAGAAAATAGAGTAATTAATATGCCATAACATGATAATTATACCTAGTCAATTTCCAGTCAATGAAAGAAAGCCTCAGTGACTTCATGTTTTCACAAAGGCCAATGTGTAAAGTGCTCCTCAAAGACAAATATATAAGCCTTAATTGCCAAAAGTAGGCTACTGAAAATTATTCAGTGTAATTTGTCTATTTAACAGTACATTGGTTGAAACAATATAGAAGAAAAGCAGTCTTCTCTTTTATAATGACAGGGAATTCATGTTTTAACAGATTGACTTGGAGTGTGTGTGTGTGTGTGTGTGTGTGTGTGTGTATTGGCTTTATTCAAGAATATGCATTACATTTGAAAGTGCATCCCTGCAGTGGTTCCCATCATTTGTGTAAATAAATCACTTTGATGCATGATGTGCACCAATTTACAGCCTTTGCTGGATGACACCATCGTGTAAAAGAGATCATTTGTGACATTTGCATAATTGCATGTAAATCACTGCAGGAATCTGATCTCCTGCAGATGAAGCCAGTTGTATTGAGATCCACTTAACTTTTACTGTATGCAGGGAAATGACTTCTGTAAAGTACCCGCATATATATATGGTGTTCGGCTTGGTTTGGGTATTTTCCCACATCAAAAAACAGCCAAAAAACAGACAGAAGATATCAGAGACACCCATCAAGCAGAACACAGCAAACTCCGAGACCAATAAACACAGACCAAGACTCCCAACCAATCAGGATGAAGAAAAAACCATTCTGGCACAGCAATAGGCTGCCCCAAATTTAAATCTGAAACCACTGTAAAAGTCTGACCCACAGACGGACACAATACAGAAGCCTGATGATGGCAGATGAGATTCTGCTGAAACGTTGCTACAACTTTAAAAGAACTACAATGACGTGGGAAAATACCCGAACCAAGCCGAACACCATACATGTAAGTACCCGCGAAAACTTAAGAAAACAAATATATACACACACACACACACACACACACACACACACACACACACACACTTAAGTTTTCGCGGGTACTTACATGTATGGCATTCAGCTTTATTTGGGTATTTTCCCATGTCATTATAGTTGTGCTTTTAAAGTTGTAGCAACGTTTCGGCAGAATCTCATCTGCCATCATCAGGCTTCTGTATTGTGTTCGTCTGTGAGTCAGACTTTTACAGTTGCTTCAGTTTTAAATTTGGGGCTAGCCTACTGCTGTGCCAGAATGGTTTTTTCTTCATCCTGATTGGTTGGGAGTCTTGGTCTGTGTTTATTGGTCTTGGAGTTTGCTGTGTTCTGCTTGATTGGTGTTTCTAATATCTTCTGTCTGGTTTGTGGCTTTTTTTGTGTCTTGATTGGCTGGCAACATTGTGTT